TTCTACGTTAGATGAGTCTCGTCCTCGTCTACAGATTGAGGCAATATGCAAATACAACGGGCGGACGGTCCAACATCTACTTGCATTACGTCATCCTTTCCCGTCTATAACATAAACCGCACACATATTTTTTTTATGGAAACGTTATTGTTAATCAAACCGTGATGAAATCTGTTCTATGTATTGTAATGTACAATAACATTTTCATTGTGCGAAGTTAAACAAAGATTTTTCGTACCAAAAATTGTTTCGACCGTCAGTTTAACCGATTTAGAGCAAAGAGGTCATGCTATTGAGGCCGGCTATAGTTATTGTAGTCTGCGTTGGGCTTTGAAACGGGCGGAATTATTGAAATAAAAAATAATCACAAAAAGACAATAAAAAAAAAACAAAAAAATAATACGTGTAACGTGAATGTGCCGTTTCGAAATGGTTGAAGTTATTCTAAATTAAAAATTGTCTTTTTTTTTAGTATTGGTAAACGAGCTCAATGCTTCCGTGAGTGATATTAAATAAAAGCTGATTCACCCTTAAAATCGTTGCTGACTTCTATACAGCAAAATAATGAGGTCTTCCGCAGCAGCCAGTTTATCACCGATGGATCAACACGGTCCCCTCTCAGTACTATAAGACACTTATATTTCTTACGCTATGAGCAGCCAAAATATAAGGTCATGAGCAGCCAAAATATAGGAACTCTATGGTGAGATCGACATCAAGAATTACCCATTACATTAGCCCGTTGATTTTCTCGCTTGATCTTATCAGCGGGTCGCGATTTCGTTCGGACAGTAGACGTACTCGTGAAACAGCTGCCCTTAAACTCTATGTTGTCCTTTTAAGGAATTTGCATGGCTGTTGGGAAATCTCACGGTCGTGCTCGCTCACTGGTCCTCGTTATACTGCAAGGGCTTTCAGGCTACCAGCTACCCTTCAATCTTAAAAAAAGATGTGTGGGGTCGTGGGACACCGGATAGGAACGAAGTTCCTTATTATAAAATTATTAATTTTAAGTTCTATTCGAGGCATAAAGAAAATAATGTTTCGCGTATACATTTTTTATTATGATTTTTTTATTGATAAAAATAAAAAATAAAACTACTTTACAAAGTTATCGACTTTATTTTATTCACAATGATTTGTAAACAGTATATAATAAAAAAAATATGTTATTTTTTGTACGTTATTACTAAGTTAAGTCGTACAATGTGTGCATTACTAATAAAAATCGTACGTTACGGACGTTTTTTCCCGATTAGGGTACTCCGCATCGTCCCATAAGGAACTTCGTTCCAAAAGAAAAGTGCATGTAAGCTTTTATTATATATTTGGTCGTTCTCGTCTAGATCTAGTTTAACGTCCAGTCGCCGTTTTCGTGGCCGACATCTCGCGGCAAGCTCGCTCTAAACGGGCGGTAATTTACTTGATCATTGAATGAACAAACATAGCACGATGCAACGCTCCACACACTGTGCTTATACTCGCACGTATGTAAATATATATTATATTATTATGAGTTTTGTATTGTAGATTTGGTGGTCCTTAACGATTTGTGTTAGTTTGACCTGTGTAACCTTTGAATAAAGTTACTTTTGGAACGAAGTTCCTTATGGGACGATGCGGAGAGATACCATAACCGGGAAAAAACGTCCGTAACGTAATATTTTTATTAGTAACGCACACAGTGTACGACTTAACTTTGTAATAACGTAGAAACAATAACATTTTTTTCACACATAGACACCCTCCAATCCCTACAATCCCGCTTTTGCAGGTTAGCCGTCGGGGCTCCGTGGTTCGTGAGGAACGTTGACCTACACGACGACCTGGGCCTTGAATCAATTCAGAAATACATGAAGTCAGCGTCGGAACGGTACTTCGATAAGGCTATGCGTCATGATAATCGCCTTATCGTTGCCGCCGCTGACTACTCACCGAATCCTGATCATGCAGGAGCCAGTCACCGTCGACGCCCTAGACACGTCCTTACGGATCCATCAGATCCAATAACCTTTGCATTAGATGCCTTCAGCTCTAATACTAGGGGCAGGCTTAGGGACCCCGGTAACCGTACTCGTCGAACTCGACAAAGAGGTCGACGTGCAACCTAGCCCATGCATCAGCCCGCTGAGTTTCTCGCCGGATCTTCTCAGCGGGTCGCGATTCCGATCCGGTAGTAGATTCATTCGCGAAGCAATTGCTCTTGAGTTGTTAGGTCTCCTTCGGAGGCGCTCGGGCAGCTGTTAGCAAATCCCACCCCTCCTGGCTGAGCCTTTGCTCGCCAACCTGTCCTGGTGAAACTGGAAAGGCCTTCGGGCCACCAGTAATCTCTCAATCATAAAAAAAAAAAAAAACATTTTTTTATCATTCATTGACCACGATCTCAGAGCGTTCGTTTGCGCAATACACTAACTCTTATGCAAACAACCGTGAATGAAGTGTACCACAATAAGTTCGCACGTTACCGAATGACCGTGGGTTGTTGCGAAACCTCCATGTTTTATTTTCTTTATACCTCGAATAGAACTTAAAATTAATATTTTTATAATAAAGAACTTCGTTCCTATCCGGTGTCCCACGACACCACGCATCTTTTTATTTAGTTTCCGTTGAATTTCAGACAAACGAACAGGCTTAAATGTAGATCATGTACTCATTAAAAGACTGATGCCAAGGGAATGGATAGGAAGTACTAGGAAGGTGAGTTAGAACATACGGGCATGTACTTCAGCAATTCTAGCTTTCATTCAGCAGAGCCAAGCCGCTGCCTACCGTTAATATGACCACCCTTCTGTGTCACTTTCTCTCGCACGATCTTTACAATAAGTTTTATTTCATATTAATAAAATACGGTCAAGCTCCGCTGTAACTGTCGCTAAAATTTACAAAAAATTTCGCGTGGTTTTTCCAAAGAAAATATCTTCATACAAACATTGCTCGGACAATCACGAGCAGAACGATAAATAAATAAGCCAACTCGCTCGAGCCATTCCAAGTGATGACGTCATACGTCGTACGCCATGTGGTAATTAATTTTTATTTTTATACGAGTATGGTAGGTAGAAAGGGAGAGTACTTGGTTTCTTGCCTGTTGTGCATGTGTCTATTCGATATCAAATTCAACACAGAAGCGACTCCGAAGTTGTACTATGTTTTTTCTTAGCTCTCACCCTTAATTGTTAACTGGCAATAGCAGTGTAGGTTGTTAAACCATCACAGGAGGTGCTATCAGATCGCCTATTTCTGTTGCAACAAATTCATTTCTTTTTGGAAGGTAATTCAGCTAGCTATTCAAAACGAAAATTCGACGAGTTGAATCACTCTACATTTCACATTTATTTAGAAAGCCTTATTTAACCCTATTTAACCTTGTTTTCCCCTTTGAAACACTTAAAAGGGACTGGCTACTCGCTCTGTTTCTGGTATCCTTGATATAATTTCCGCTCACATGAATAACTCAGGATTTCTACGGTTATTTTTACACTTACAAATGAATAAGGACTTTATTTTTATTGCATAAAAGGCTTGTGTATAACGGAAACAAAATGGAAATTTTAATTCACGTTCGGTCATAATGAGATTAAAGATAGGGCTGTACAAAATGGCTACCGAAAATTCGACATGATTTATAATGACATTAACAATAATAATAATAACACGAAACAAATCACTTTCGGCCCAAATTTAGGATTCCCTGTGTTATGGGTACTAGATACTGATAAACATTCTTATATATGTTTAAATATATATAGACATTCAGACAAAAAGTAAACAAATCTGTTCATCACACAATTTGATCGTTATGGCAATCGAATCCCCGACCCTCGATTCAATATTCAGGGCCGCTAACTACTCCACCACTGAGTCAGTTAGTTTTTAAGGTTGTCTTTCATTAGTTTCTTTTTGCTGGATGCAAGCAGTGCGGGATGTGTCAGTGTGCTAACTTTGGGTGAGATTGGTTCCCGTTCTGTTTTTTTAAATAATTTTACGCCGGTAAGAGTAACGCCATCTATTGCCAAATAGCCGAAACGAATATCAAAGGAACTAGTAAAGTGAAAAAACACACATCAAAGCTACTCGACTTGCCCAGAATGTTCTCGATAAATCTAGGAATGTCGTATCGACTATAAAAGCGTTGTAGAAATGGCACGAAAGCAATAAGTAATAGGATCTCCTCGAAGCGAAACAGCGAACGGATCACCTGAAGCGAAGCGGAAGAAGCGAATTGAGAATTTTAAAGTGTTCGTGAAGCGTTCTAAGTGTTGAATACAGTTTTAATTTATACTTCGGTAAAAAAATATTTATCCCGAACCCCAGCGTGTAAGAATAATAAAAGAATTTAAGAATTTCTATTTTAATTCACCAAACATTAATACAGCATGCTTAAAAGCACGGTGCCCGACTAATGACGTGATTTAGTCGGAATACCTTCTCATCAGATCCTTGACTATTCAAAGAATAGAGAAGAAATATGGTGTTAAATTGCATTTCCGAGCACAGAGCTGCCAAGATGGAAATAGCTTTGACGTAAACCGCAAGTGCAGTTCGTAAGTAATCTCATCAAAGTCTCACTTTAGCGGAGAATCTGTATTACTGGAGGCGAGGATCCCAGCGAGACACTCTCATTTATTGGTGGCATAAGTTCGTTATATCCCAGACGAGGGTATAGTGTTTTATTTTCACGTTGTTGGTGTGTTTACCTTCGACTAATTTATGTGGATACGTTAACTTTTGTTTACTTAACAAAAATATGCACGTGTCTGTTGTCCACATTACGTTTCAAATTATCTATGGCTCATTAGCCTTTTAAGTCGAAATACATTTCACGTACCTATATATGTTATAAGAGTATTAGAAACATTAAGACTTATAGTTAATTACGAAAAGCTAGTAGGTATTCAATCTAAAACACTATGCTTTTGAGGTTTATTCGAGTAATGGACTTCTTCGATTATTTTGAATTTAATTCTCGCACCACTACAGAGTGGGTCCGTTTCCGGCCGTTGAAGTGTAAACATCACTGTGATTCTATTTGTAACAAATCGTATTTAAAAAATAGTAAAAAGTTGGTTTAGTCGTCAACACTGTTAAAAACCACTTAATTGGTGCTTCGAGGGACGCAGAAGAAATAAATCTTTGGAATATTAACAGGATCTGTTCAGAAAACTGCAGAAGAAAATCCACAACAACTTTCACAAAACCTGCCAAGTAGAATACGATTCTACCCTACAACTAAAAAAATACTTAATGTCAGTTTGTTGGGTTGGCATTGGTTCTAGTGTTGCCGGTGCATGAAAAGTAGTGTCACCTACTATACTGCGTTCCATTCCACGTTACTTCACAAAAATATGGAAGAACAGTTCCAACTGTTATTTGATAATATGAAGATGGAAATGCAGAAACAAACAGCTGAACTAACTGAATCACTTACCAAAAACTTAATGGATAGGATGGATGAGAAACTTACTCCTATCATTGAAGAAAACGAACAATTAAAACAAAAACTTAGCGATCTAGAGAAAGAGATGGAATATTTGAAAAGAGAAAAGAAAAGTAACAACATAATTATTTTCGGGCTAGAAAAGAGGGAAAATTCAACATTGGAGCTATTTAATAATGTCAAGATGACCTTCAAAGAAGCTCTTGACATAAATGTAGAGCAATCCGAAATAAACAAATTATACCGCTTGGGAAAAAATATAGTTCAGAATAAATCAAGGCCGGTGCTGTGTTCCTTTACAAATGCATGGAGAAAAGATGAAATTATGAAGAATAGAAAGAGCTTAAAGAACATTTATGTATCGGAGGATTACTCGAAGGAAATTTTGGAGAAAAGAAAAGCACTGCTACCACGGTTGAAGGAAGAGAGAGAAAAGGGAAATATAGCTTTTCTGATTTACGACAAATTAGTAGTAAAAGAATCCAACACTGAAAAAAGGAAAAGGGAACCAACTATCTCACCGTCACCTTCCAAAAGGCAACCCAGAAAACAGCAAACACTATGCTCTGCGAAAGTTAGCAGGATAAATGCCTTTGATGCAATGCGACCTAGATCGAACTCATTTACCAACAAACCTACACTCAATAAAAAATAGCAATTAACCGGTAAACGGAAAATCCAAACAAACTATGAAAACAAACAAACAGAAGAAATACCTCTTCCCCCAAGCCGACTGGTCCTCGTGGGGGATAAAGACCACAACCCTCCAACAATACAAAAAAACAACTACAAAGATACAAAAATATACGTCGCAGCCCTTAACGTACTCACGTTGAAGAATGAAGAAAATCTTATAGAATTAACAAACGCCTTAAATCAAATTAAATGGGATATCGTCGGCCTCAGCGAAGTAAGAAGAATGGGTGAAAGAATTATTTCTCAACCAGACTTCCTCCTATACCATATTGGAACGACGCCAGGACACCATGGCGTTGGTTTCATCGTCAAAAAATATCTTGAAAAATCTGTAGAAGAATTTATAGGAATCTCGGAGCGCATAGCAATGATGAATTTAAAGTTACCGGGATATAATGATTCATGGTCTATTGTACAAATATATTCACCAACAGAACAATCGGACCTGGAAACAATTGAGGAATTCTACCTTGACTTAAATAACACTATCCAAGAACGTGCCCACAAAAACTTAATCGTCATGGGAGATTTCAATGGCCAAATTGGAGCTAAGCGTCCAGGAGAAGAGACAGTACTGGGACCATTCACTTACAGTAACAAAATTAGAAGTAGAAATGGAGAAAAACTTATAAATTTCACACTAGAAAATAACTTAACCATTTTAAACTCAGTATACAAAAAAAACACAACGAAAATGTGGACATGGATTTCACCAGATGGAAAAACCAAGAACGAAATAGATTTTATAATGACCAATACAAAGAAATGCTTTACAAATTTCGACGTCATTAATAAATTTAACTTCAATACGAATCATAAACTAATTAGAGCTGAAATAAAATCAGTACAACCAAAGAAACCTAGACCGAGACAGGAACTAACAATCGGTAAGCTCAGCAAGCACCAAATGGCGCAACTCGTGGCCAACCTAAGAGATAAATTCATAGACTTCAAAAAGAACACAAATACCATGGGAACCCAAGAAAAATACAACTGGATAGAGAATATTATTAACGATCAAGTACAACACATTGACAAGATTAGATCTGAACCGAGAAAATGGCTAACATCTAATACCATGAAATTACTAGAGCAAAGAAACCAGCTAATCAGCGCAAAAGAAGGAAAAGACAGAAGAAGGCATTTAGCGAAAATTAGTAAAGACATCAAAGAAAGTATAAGGACGGACAGGAAAAAGAGTAGAATGGAAATTATTGAAAAGCATATAGCCAAAACGGGAGGCATTAAAAAAGCTCATAGAGAATTAACAAATTCAAATGACTGGATCGCAAAGATTAAAAACAACAGCGGAGAATGGCACCATAATAGAACAAATATATTAGGAATCGCTACGTCCTACTACAAAAAAATCTACGAACACAACACCGCTCAGGACAATATCTACCTAGCAGAAACCTCAAGTATCCCTAACATCATTCAAACTGAAGTAACAAAAGCTATAGATAGTCAACACAGAGACAAAGCACCAGGACCCGATGGCATAAGCAACGAAATTCTAAAAGAAAGTAATGAAATTATAACACCAGTTCTCACCGACATGTTTAATGAGATATTAAAAACCGAAATTATCCCACGGCAATGGACAGAATCAAATATTTTACTTCTATATAAGAAAGGAGACAAATATGACATTGGGAACTACCGCCCTATTAGCCTTATGTCCAACATATACAAGGTATTCGCCAAGGTCATACTTAATCGGATTGAAAAAATATTAGACGAACACCAACCCATCGAGCAGGCGGGATTTCGTAAAGGCTATTCAACGATCGACCACATTCATGTAGTACGCCAAGTAATGGAGAAGTATAAAGAACACCAATGCACCTACTATATCGCATTTATTGATTATAGCAAAGCATTCGATTCTTTGTTTCATGAAAAGGTATGGGAGTCATTAAAAGAACAAGGAATTGAACACAAATACATCCGGTTAATAAAAAATGTTTACAGCCAGAATACTGCGAGAATACAATTAGAAAAGAAAGGTGAACCTTTCAGAGTAGGCAAAGGCGTACGACAAGGAGATCCCCTGTCACCAAAAATATTCTCGGCGGTACTAGAATCCATATTCAGAGCTCTAAATTGGGAAAATCTCGGTATCAATGTAGACGGTGTCTCATTGACTCACTTGAGATTCGCAGATGATATTGTGTTATTTGCAAAATCGTCGGAAGACATCACAAGAATGATAAACGAATTATCAACGGAGAGCGAGAAGGTAGGGTTAAAACTGAACCTGGAAAAAACAAAAATAATGACAAACGGAGAGAGAATTCCCATAAACTTAGGAAACAACCAAATTGATTACACCGATGAATATATTTACTTGGGACAGCTAATAACAGATGATAATCCGGTGCTCAAAGAAGTTGAAAGAAGAATAACTAATGGCTGGAGAAGGTACTGGGGCTTGAAAGAAATTATGAAGGACAAAAATCTTCATATGAACATTAAAAGCAAACTATTTAATACTTGCGTACTACCAGTTCTCATGTACGGCAGTCAAACATGGGCTTTATCACAAAACACGATTAGCAAGCTTGCATCATGCCAACGCGCAATGGAGAGGAGCATGATGAACGTGAAAAAGTCAGACCGACTGAGTAACCGTATAATAAGAAGCAAAACAAAGGTAATAGATATAGGGTGCAAAATTAGAAGGCTTAAATGGCGTTGGGCAGGGCATATGGTTAGAGGTAAAGATAAATGGAGCAAAGTTGTGACACAATGGTATCCTAGAGAAAGTAAAAGGAAAAAAGGTAGACCGCAAAAAAGATGGGATGACGACATACGACAAGTGGCAGGCGTCACATGGAACAGAGTGGCTCAAGAAAGACATGAGTGGAAAAGGTTGGAGGAGGCCTTTGTCGATTGGCAAACAGATCTGCAGAAAATAAGAAAAATTCAAATAATAGACTAGATTAAGGTTTAAATAAAATTTAAGTTTTATATATTATATTTAATTTTAGTCATATAATTGTAATATGGATCTGAATAAAAGGCTATATTATTATTATTATATTATTACCACTACAGAGTTCTATTGCGAAACGGCCCGAAATATAAAATCAACTAGGAATCGTAGTGTTTACATTAATTAAAATACCGTTCTCGATTGAAGCACTCAAAGCCCTTTGATCTGTCATCGTTTTTTGAACGAGGGCGTGAATGAAAAGGTCGTTTATGAGACCAGCAGAGAACGCTCTGAAATGGGGTTCGGTTAGAGTCGGCGTTTTCCTTTCGATGTTTTTAATAATCGATTCTCATGATCGTTCAATTTTCATATTGAATTTTTTATCTTTAAGTTTGAATACCAATTAAAAACTATACTTATATATACTTATTCTGATTATCGATTTCAGATAAATTGTAACATAAAAATTATGATCGCGAGTTGGGGTTGTATATTTTGTATTTGTACATGGATTTCTAATTTGTTTTCTTAAGCGACCTCTTTAATGTATAGGTATATTTTTAAATTATTCTTTCCAAAGCCACGTGGCAAACCACGAGCTGCTCGATGTACTGATTTGTGTTATTTTGTGATGTATAAGAATTGCAGTCATAGTTCAGCGGCCGTTATCTGATGCGGCTGCCTTGCATTCACACCGGTGCGCCAACAAACTCCATAACACAAAACCCCAATTTTGGCTCTAAGATCGATAATAATTTTACATAATTTTGTTCCGAAGATCTTTCAAGTCCGCGCGTGGATACAATAACAAGCTAATTGTACCGGAACTAAGTTCAATATTGCAGTTCAGCGGAACTTCTTAACTTGATTTGCAATCAGAGATTCAACTAATTTAGAATCTTGCTCGCATTGAGCGAGGTGTCCATAAGATTGAATATCACTGAACTATATATTAACATTGATTCTCAAACGTTTTTGCCAACGGTAGCCATAAAAAAATAGGGGAGCCACTGACCGTAAAATTGAATTTAAAAGTATTTTCTTAACTAACTCATTCGTCTCCTGTTTAGAGATCTAAGAAATATAAGATTTAAGAGTCAATTTCATTAAAAGAAGATAAATTTCCATAGTTCAACTCTAGATTTAATTAAAAGTTCAGAAGAAATCGAATCGATGCTGCTTTGATTAATACTACACATATATTAAACAAAAGTCCTCTTCGTAAAACGTTCGCCAATCAAAATTAATTTACATTTAAAACAAGCGGTTTTTAGTTGAGCTTCTGTGTGATGCGATTGGTTGATATTTTTTTAATTTTTTATTGCCCTTGTAGGCAGACGAGCATACGGCCCACCTGATGGTGAGTGGTTACCGTTGCCCATGGACTTCAGCAATGCCAGGGGCAGAGCCAAGCCGCTGCCTACCGCTTAATACTCTCCACAAGCCTCGTTTGAAGAAGGACATGTCATAGCGCTCGGGAAACACCGTGGAGGGGAGCTCATTCCATAGCCGGATGGTACGNTTGTAGGCAGACGAGCATACGGCCCACCTGATGGTGAGTGGTTACCGTTGCCCATGGACTTCAGCAATGCCAGGGGCAGAGCCAAGCCGCTGCCTACCGCTTAATACTCTCCACAAGCCTCGTTTGAAGAAGGACATGTCATAGCGCTCGGGAAACACCGTGGAGGGGAGCTCATTCCATAGCCGGATGGTACGTGGCAATATTATTACACTATAATCTTTTAAATTTTAACGCGAAACTACTAAAATGTATCGTAACATTTATGGGACCTATTAAAATGACAATAAGTTCCGTTATTGCTTTTTACACACACCTAGATTAATAGATTTAGACATATAAAAGAAAGAAAAAAAAAATTGCAAAATTGTGTGCTACGAAGGACTAGAACTTTATTTGAACTTTTTTGTGTTTAAAAATATTTAACTTTAGGTCAGAGGTTAAGTTTTTCGGAATATCGGTAATAAATACAAAGTTTTATACATTTAAGTTTACGTAGTAGGCTTTTAAATAAAATATGACTGAGAAAAGTCTCATGAATATTCGTTATGACCTATTCGAGTATAATTATGTAACTCTAATGACGAGTTAAGAGGCATGGATAGAATGGAAGACATGGAATACCAAAAT